AGGCCAAACTTATTCAAGTTAAGTAGCTAATCTTCATTCAGAGACCTTCCAACTTTTTTCATAGTTGAAGCCACCCTCTTGTCATGGGGCTTCCTCCACAAGAAGACAGACCAGGTGATGCAATGGGACAGACACCACACTGCCAGCTGCAGTCCTACCCTCTTGCCTGCTAGCTTCCCCTACTTGCTCCCAGGGCTCTGAGCCTGTGCTAGGTTTTGCAAGTGCTGTGCTCCCCAAATTCTCATGGCCAAGGCTTGGAGGAGAAAGTGAGGATGGGGGATGCATTGCCTTGTGGTGGGGGTGGGCACTGTAGGGGTGACAGCTCTGAGACCCCTATGCTTTGACCAGGTTGGCTTACGAGTTGGTATCAAGTTGGGACCCTGGAATCCTCTTTTTCCCCATGTGAGTCCCACTCCTGGACCATGGTTGCAGATCCCTAAAATTCCACAGTTTGCGTCATGCATTTGCATTTGGGTTTAGCTCTTGTGTAAAGGTAAAAGTCTCAGGGGAGCCAAAGCCTCATGTCATCACCCATATGAAGGGGTTGAGACAGGCTCTGAACCAGGGTCCAGGGGTTGGCATGAGGGCAAAGGGTGCCCACAGATATATGTGTATGCCTGGAGCAGGGGACATCTGGGGGGACCCAGGCAGACAGGCCCTGGACGAACAAAGTGAGAAATCTAAGAAAGAAAATTATCTTCTAGAAATAGGGTTAGCAAATTTTTTTCCATAAAGGGCCAGAGAACTAATACTTTAGGCTTTGCAGGTCTTCTGGTCTCTGTTCTAACTACACAGCTCTGCTGTTGCAGTGTGAAAGCAGCCACAGGCTGTATCACAGAGGAGTGTGGCTGTGTTCCCACCAAACTTTATTTGCAAAACAGGCTGCATCTGGTCTGTAGGATGGAGCTCGCTGCCCCCTTTCCTTAATGAAACCTCAAAAACCCTAGCCAGTCTCCTCTGTCCTGTGCTGTGTGTCCCAGTGCCCGGCTCACACCTCTCCTGCACCGAGAGCCAGAAATGCATCCCGTTTATCTGTCTGTGGCCCCCACAGCTTCTGGAGAAGAGACCTTGTGTCCTGGCACCGGCACACATGTTTGATACATATCTGGGGAGAAAGTGTGTGTGTGGTAGCGAGGGAGACAACGTTTACAGCAGACACACCTCACTGAGCATTTCCGGCCTCTTGGCAAAAAGCTACAGAGTTCACATAAGAAGAGATCTTTGCAGATGACAAGAACTGCCAGAAGACAGCAGCCTGACTTAAACAATTTCAATCCTTGTTAAAATGCAAACTTACAGGCGGAGTCTGACGTCAAGGCTGAATCCCAGAGAGCAGTGCCATGGAACTGCCTGCAGACAGGCTGCTCCCACCCTCTGGGGAGCCCTCCCCATCACAGACCCATCACCATTCACTTCAGCCTCAGTCGATGAGGAGGAAAAACACTGTGGCTAGCCAGGGATATAAAATTATTTGTTATTGGAAAATCTAAGTGTCCCTCCAGGCTTGTGCAGCACTATTAGGTGACGTCAGTGGTTCAGGGTATCTGAGCTCTGCATTCCCACTTGTTTCAGGACAGCAGCTAATTCACAGCAGTAAAGATGTTTCTATTTAGAGCCCCAGAAAAGAAGTGGCCACTGTCAGTCCTGCATCCCTAAGTTTTGTGCTGAGGGCCTGCCTGCTTCCCCTGGGAAGCAAGAAGTTTGCAGGTAGGAGGAGACCAGACCTAGACATTCAATACCATTCAAGCAAGCCAACAGCTTGAGGACCTTCTCCATGCAAGGCAGTGTGGGCACAGAGAGCAGCACAGCCTGGCGATCCCCGCTGCAGGGGAGAGGGCAATGAGGCACACAGTCGTGACAATGGGACACAGCAAAAATGGTGCTTTGGGGGCTGGACGAGGGAGATGAGCCTTGATGTTTCTCGGGCTGGATGGTGAAGGACTGGTGGAATTTGGGCACCTGGAGTTGCAAGGAGACTGGTGCCAGGGAAACTGGGAAGGAAGAGGAGGAGCAAGGCTAGGTTGCTGAGGAAAGGTGGTGCCTGATTTTGGACATGAACTTTACTTGGCTCATGAATAAGTCCAGGTTGGCTGGCATGCTGCCCTGCAGCTTCACAGCCCATACGGTTGGTCTGCAGCATCTGGGCTTGAGCAGACTACCTCCAAAGAGCCACCAGGGTTTCCTGCGCCTCTCCCTTTGCACACATCACCTCTCAGTAGGCCTACCTCATTCTTCCTCCAGGAATATTTAAACTTTGCTGTTCAGAGAATATTTTTTCCCCTATGAAAGTCAATTCCCTTTTTTTTCCAGAGGTCTCCAAGGACTTTTCTCTCTGCATGACCTCATTATATTAAGTGAAAATTTCTTGATTCTAGATTGAATTCTCAGTGCTGAAGAAGTCATCTTATATTGAACTAAATCTTATGAAAAAGCATATGATTCTCTTGACTATTTTAGGATATTTTGCTAGGATAGACAAGTCAATCTTGAGAAAGAAGAACAAAGCTGGAGGTATCACACTTCCTAATTTCCAACTATACAACAATGCTATAGTCATCAAACAGTATGGTATTGGCATAAATACAGACACACAGATCAATAGAAGAGAATAGAACCCAGAAATAAACCCATGTATATGTGGTCAATTAATGTATGACAAAGCAGTCAAGAATATACAGTGGGGAAAGAACAGTCTCTTCTACAAATGGTGTTGAGAAAATTGGACAGCCACATGTGAAAGAATGAAACTAGACCACTCTCTTATACCATACACAAAAGTAAACTCCAAATGGATTAAAGACTTGAATGTAAGACCTGAAACCCTAATGGTCCTTGAAGGAAACACAGGCAGTGAGCTCATTGGTATCAGCCTTGGCAATGATTATTCTGGATGTGACCCCAAAAGCAAAGGCAGCAAAAGTAAAAGTAAACAAATGGGATTACATCAAATTAAAAAGCTTCTGCACAGCAAAGGAAACCATCAACAAAATGAAAAGGCAATCTACTGAATAGAAGACCATAACTGCAAACCCTGTATCTGTTAAGGGGCTAATGTCCAAAATACATAAAGAACTCATATAATTAGTAGCACAAACAATCTTGTTAAAAAGTGGGCAAAGGATCTGAATAGACATTTTTCCATAGAAGACCTATAGATGGTCAATAGACACATGAAAATATCTCAACATCACTAATCAAAGAAATGCAAATCAAAACCACAATGGGATAACAGCTCACACCTGTATGAAGAGCTATTATCAAAAACATAAGAAATAAGTGTTAGTGAAGATGTGGAAAAAAGAGAACCCTTGTACTCCATTGGTGGGAATGTAAACCAGTACAGCCACTATGGAAAACAGTATGGATATTCCCCCCAAATTAAAAATGCAACTAGCATATGAGTGGTCCAGCAATTCCACTTCTGAAATCCAAAGGAAATGAAAACATTAACTCAAAAAGATATCTGCACACCCTTGTTTATTGCAGCATTATTACAATAGCCAAGACATGGAACAACCTAAGTGTATCAATAGAAGAATAAAGAAAATGTGGTATAAATATACAATGGAATATTATTCAGCCACAAGTAAGAAGGAAATCTTGCTATTTATAACAATATGGATGGACCTTGAGGGCATTATTCAAAGTGAAATAAGTCAGACAGAAAAAGACAAATACCACATGATATCACTTCTGCATGGAATCTAAAAACAAAAAGAACCTAACCCATAGATATAGGGAACAGGCTGGTGGTTGCCAGATTGGGGTGGGGGTGGGAAAAACAGGTGAAGGTGGTTAAAAGGTACAAAGTTACAATTTTAAAATAAATAAGTCCTGGGAATGTAATGTACAGCATGGCCACTATAGTTAACAATACTGTATTGTATACTTAGAGTTGCTAAGAGTAAATCTTAAAAGTTTTCATCATGAGAATAAAATATTTGTAACTGTGCGGTGATGAATGTCAACTAGGCTTATTGTGCTGATTATTTTGCAATATACACAAATACAGAAAATCATCATTAACAAAAATCACAGAGACATAGAGTACTTTGGTGGACTGAGATACCAACTGCAAGCCCCATCAGGCTCACTGCGCTCAGTCCCATTTCCCCTTCGGGAGCCGCCTTCTCACAGGGGCATTCAGGCCCTGTCATTCCCCAGTGTATTTCCTTGCCTGGTCAGGCTTCACTTTCTGATCCAACAATTTACAAGTTTCCAACATGTTCCTCTAAAGTGGACTGTGCCCTGAAGCCCTTCATATCCTCTAGAGATATTGTGCCTTCTTTTAAAATCTTCATCTAAGTCAACGGCCATATTTTGTGTTTTCAAAAATAGATCATTGGTAATTATGTTTCTTGAGTACTTTTTAAATCAATGAACTTTAAAGCATGAAATGAATACATAAAATCCAGTATTAAAAGTACAAGTTAAGAAAAAATTATACCAGTACCAATGTTGCTATGATAAATCTAAAAAAAAGTTCTTAGGTATAGCAACTCATTAAAATCCTGTTACCTCAAAGACAACACTCAAATATACTGTTCTTCATGATGTAATGGTTAAAAAAAGTCACAAATCTAATTTGGAATGATTCTTGGTTTTGACAGGAATTTGCAGGAGTGAAGTGCTCAAATGGCATATATACTTTCATTTGTCTATGAAGATAGAAAGATAGAAACCTTTATTTGGAAAAAGAATTTCATGCTCTCATGAAATCTATTAGTCTTGAGTTGCACAGCCACAAGCTAAATCATACCTGATGTGCATTACCAATAACACTTACTAATAATGTCAGTAATAATACTAATAGCATAGGCTTGCTGGGGGCAGTTTTTTTCTTTGTTTACATATTTGTCAAAGGAGCCTGATTTTGCCATAAACCTTCTTAACTGGTAACTACAAGAAGATGCAGAGAGGGACAAGCAGAGATCAGTGGTGAAATGCAGGACGTGATCAAGCCAACTAAGCAAATGAGGAAGAGCACATTAATACCGTACCTGCTTATTATGGTCAGTGGTACAGCACAGTTTCTTGAGGGAAACAAAATGCCTTATTTTCCTGACAACATAAATAGTCAGTTATTAGTGAGTCAGATATGAGATGATTCAACAAATCAGCAAATGAACATGAACAGACTCTTCTTAAAGCAAAACTCCAGGGTCCATTCTAGGGCAGATTTAAAATTCAAGCAAGACCGAACCCACAAAAAACACATTTTCACACACAGCCCACGCATCCTTCAGAAACTGGGCCTTCCTGTTAGCCACAGCCAGCTCAGAAACACTTAGCTAATGGGCATCGCGTTTTGTAACCGACTCCTGCTACGTGACTCCTAGGTGCCTTCAGTGATGGGATGAAATGCTACTCCAGGCGAAAATGGCTTTAATTTTGCTGACACCAATAGCTTTATAGCTTATATAAAAAGCAAAAGACTCATTTGGACAATGACCAGATTACATGGTTGCTGTTTTTATATTTAATGTTCCATATTCTTACACAGCATAGTCATCATCATAATGGCATTTTTCAGGCAGAGAAAAATCCTCTTATTTCAAGGCTGTGGACAGAATCTCAAAACGCTTACTTTGGGATGAAAGTAAGCAATGAGCCTATGGTCTTACTCATTATCACAAGGGAGACTGGGAAGTTTATAGGTGCTCATCCCTGCACAGACATCAGCTCAAGGTAGCTTTTCTACTGAGAATGAAGCCAGGAATTCGAGAAAGCTAGTAATGAGTCTCCTCTGTCTCTGTTTCTGTCTCTCCTTTTGGTTCAGTTTTCTCTGGAGGACTCTGAAGAGAGTGTAGAAAACACTAGTTGTTCTGTAACAAGTTTCACCAAACCAGAAGTGGTAAAATTTCCCAACTTTTAATAAGAATTCCCTCTGATAGCTCACTGCCTATAATTGGGAGAAAAAAATAATACTGTCTGGACAAAACAACTTCTCTCTCTTATCTATAAAATCAGAAAGATCAGAAAAATTCATTCCAACAGAAATTACCAAACAACAGCATAGTTCCTCTCCCTTGGTTATTTAATAATTCACACACATTAAGTAAATGGTAGCTTAAATTTTCTGGCAGCTGGCCTAAGGATGATACTGGCAGCATGACAGCCAGCATGGCCTCTGGGCGCTGACCACGGTGGAAATGGCCATATGAGGCCTGATGCTCAGGAGGAGGCCCCAGGCAGCCTCTCTCTGCCCTCAGAACCCTTGGTCAGGACCTGTCAGTTCCCGCACCACCCAGAGGGAAGCAAAATGACCCAAAGTACAAGATAAAGGTCTCTGAACTGAGGGGGTAACAATTTCGAACTGGACCCAACAGCTAAAATTGGGGAAAATGACCTACACTTTGCTGACTTTATGGGATGTCTCATTTTCCAACCCTGCAACAATTTGCCAGGAGCTCAGTCACAAGTCACAGGCAGGACTCTCCTCTTCTGGTCACTGGCCCAATAACCACCACCTTTCCTTTTTCCAAACTGTCACACAGTAGCACGCATCCCCCATAGACCCATACTGTGAAGCTGGTGTTGACCTTCTGGCTGGCTTACTAAAGGCATCAGTTAGGGGATCCTGTTTGGCTTCCTAAACCTTCTCACCAAATTTAATGTGGAGAAGGAAAAGAAATTGCATATTCATTTTCTCTCTCCACAAGTGAATAGACTTGTCTGATAATCTGAGATTAAATGCAATCAAATTCCCTCCGTTACTAGTTAGGCACAGCTTTCTCTCCACAGCCATAACCTCTAGGGCTCCCTTCCCCTTGGGGAAGAAGCCCTGAGCCAACCTGGAGGGAATCTGGGCCTAGCCGGCGCCCCAGGGGAGGACGGCTCCCAGCATGGAGCTGAGGCCGGGGAGCCTTGCTTTGCTGTTATTGTGAAGAAGGGAGACCTAGAAGCTGAGCTCCTTCAGAGGGCAGTGGGAACATTGGGGCCACTGGTGATCAGGCAGAGGTGGGCAGCTGGGGTCATGTTCATAAAGCCCACATTCTGAAGAGGGGCAAGGGCAAGCCATGAATGGGGTTGTTGCCAGCCATGTGATGAGTCCTTGGTACAAACTACATACAGCCAGCCCTACTGTATGTGTGGGTCTTACACTCACACTGGCATTTCAAAATGCAACCCCAATGCCCACATGGATGCTTCAACTAAAAGAGTTCAAGAGTTTGCTCTCACCCTCCTTGGCCAATCACTGGGGTGATCTTCACGTGCTGTTGGATGCTGTCCCCAGATTTCCGTCTGGCGTAGTAAACCCCCTGCCACTCCTGCATGGACAAAGACAGTTCTTAAAATCCTTCCACCAGGCTTTACGACTGCTCCTACACAGGGTCTTACTGAGCTGAGCAACAAAGTTTCCACATGCTTTCATTACACTCCACAGAATGCTTCTCCACCATTGCACCTGCTGCGATAGGGATTACATACGGTCCATGGCTGCAGTGCATGAAGAGCCCGATGCCAAAGTGTCCACCACCAGGCTGCCCCTCCTGGGTCCCCAGGACCCTGCTGTTCCCTGTCATCAGCCCTGTGGTGCAGTGTCACCAGGCTCAGGGAGTGTCCTGAGGTCTTCCTCAATCTGCACAACAGCCTGTGCACTTGATTCTATCATCCTTAATTTGCAGGTGAGCAAACTGAGACTCAGTTTCTAATTGACTCGTCCACATTAGGAAATGAAGCATGGTCATTAGTTTGTATCTCGTAACTCTCCTTCAAGTCCATCACCTTTCTACTATCCTGTGGGCCCTCCAGCCAAGATCTCTCTAGGCCTAGTCTGGCTCCTGGCAGTTTCCACAATGAGGCAAAGTGGAGTGTGAGGTTCCTGCTATCTCTGGACCCTGGAGAGCTGGCAGATAAAGAGTCTGGTGTCTCAAGGGGGAGCCGTGGCACCACCACTATTTCTGGGAGGGAGTGGCTAAATCTGACCCTGAGATTCTCTGCAGCCTTTCTGGCCCATGCCTCATATAAAATGGCTAACTGGTATGCATGCTGGGGTCACCAGATGTGTGACAGTATTTCTTTTTATGACATCTTGTTTCCTTTTCTCACTGCCCCCAATTTTAAAAATTAATTTTGGCCATAATATATAATCCAAACATATTTTATTCCTGTAAAATGGTCCCCCATTAAATGAATACAGTGCTTCCCTAACTGTTTCCACCAGACCAAGCAAGATGAAAGAAAAGACCCGTGAGAAGGCGTACTGAGTGCTCAAACGGGATTGCCCAAGCAGTTCCAGCTAGGGGAGCAAGGCTCCTCCGGAGGGCGCCTCCAGGGAGGTCCTGCCACCCCAAGCCTGCTCCCTCCACCTGCTGGAAAGAGGTGGAAACTGCTGGCGGGGGAGTGAGCCACACGTCTACTGGACAATGATGAATAAGACAACAGAAAAGGGAAAGCTGAGGAAAACTGGCCTATGTGTAAACACAGTGTAGCTCCTGGAGTAAGAGGATACTTCTCCCGGGACAAATTCCCTATGAATCCAGTGAAACCAAAGGAGGACAAAGGGAAGGGCAGGTTGGGAGAAGGAGTTTTTATAGATCACAGCTTGAGTTCATTAGCCAGGCCCGCTCCAGCCGACCCCTCCTGCCACAGCTCAGGCTTCACTCCCCGTCCTGTCCAGCAGGAACTCCATGGGTGGCTCCTTGGTCGCTGGCGGGCACCACAGCAATTAGGTACCAGGAATGGAGGGGAGGAGAGAATAGCAATCTTATCTCCACCCTTCACCCTAGATCAACTGGAGGGTCTGCTCTGGTAAACATCTATTGGTATGTAAATGCACTAAGGCCAGGTGGGAAATTCTGGGCAAAAACTTCCATTTACCCCACACATGGATAGCACAAGTGCCCCAAACACTGGATAAAGTGAAAAACATACCACAACAGGAAAGATATTCCAGCAACAACAGGTGGGATACATTCATGCAAACAATGAAATTTCCATACATAAATCATCAGATTCTAGATCAGCACGATACACACCAGATTTGCTTGATATCCAAAATGAACTCAGAAATTAACTCATTTTGCAAACAAAAGATATTTCACTTAATTATAATGTTATTAAAGCAGCTGATCTTCGAGACATGACATAAAAATTCCCAGAAAAAAAAATGCACTGAGGAGGGGTTTGTGGATTGGTCTGCTTCACTCACCTTGCCCTTCCTGATGCATGTGTTGATGGTGTCAAGAAGGTCTGCCCGGTTCTTATCGCTTTTGGGCAGCTCGGCGAGTTCTTTCCCCAGGAGCTCGCCTTTGTGGTAGCCCATCATCCTTTCGAAGGCTGGGTTTACATACTGTGAACAGGAAGTCATTGCAGGTCAGTATGGGGAGGCCATGTACCCTCAGGAATGCTTGCTAGGATGTAGGAATGTGCTAAAATCAAGCAGGAAGTTCCCCGGGGAAGTGCTGGCTAAAACAGGTGTGCACCTGTGGTCGCATCAGCAGCACATATGCCAACACAGGTGCAACCAGCCACCCCAAATCCAAGCATTCCTTGGAGGAGTTGCCTCCCTCCTAAGCGGCAATGCATTCATTCAGCTACCACCCTAGCATCACGTTCCCCTCTGGGAAATAAAAGAAGTTCTTCAGCAGGAAAAGAGCAAGCAACCCTCATCTGGTAGTGCCAGCCTCCTGTGGGCCTTGTTCATCACCTACTGCCCATGAAATAAGGAAAAGTTCAGAAAAAAAAAAAAAAAAGAAATTAATTAGCACTCAATTCAACAGGATGTAGATTATATTAGCCCTGTCTCTACAAGGCAGCAGTTTGATCTCTCCTGTCTCCTTTCTAATTGCCACTACCTATTCACCAATGCTACAACTCAGGGCCACTTCTGGGCTTATTTGAACAATAAATTCAGTTCAACCACTTGGGCAGAAGGCAGGACTCTCAGTGCTGGTGCGGTGCAGGCCTGAGGAGGGGCTCCCTCAGCATAGCCTGGGGCCAGCAGACTCGGAGGTTTCTTTCCAAAATTCTGCCCAGGGCGTGGCATTTAGAGCTATTACCTTGGTTGATTCTGGCTCTTGTGACCACCCTCCCATTTCTTCTCAGAAAACAGAGCCACCAGATGAGTAACTCAGTAAAGGGGCCAAGTGACAAAGAACGAGGGGAAAATTGTGAGCATGCTGCACCTACGTCACAGTTTTCTTTAGGCTTAATTTACAACCATCTGCTGCTTCAGAAACACTCTTGTGAACTGTAATCATTCTTGCCCTCCACTGTGAGGACAGCAGCAAGGAACTGGGTGATGCAGGGACTCTTGGGGACCTACTGCCTTGGGAACATAGCTTCTAAAACAGCTCCAGGAGCTGAGGCCCTGGGAGAGTACTCTGGGGGCCCCCAGCTCCAGGCCTTATGGGGGGTGACTGAAGAGGAGGGTGGCGACATTCACCGATCGCCTATTACTCCCATGTGGCAGTTGCAGCCCTCCCTGGGCAGGCCCCACAGCGTCCTGGCCCGCCCTGCACACAGCAGAGCTCTATACTTCTCCTCCCCTCTGGGCCTCTGCCCCGCCACACTACTTAGAATACCCTTCCCCCATCTCCTTGCCTCGCCAACTTATTTATCCCTGTCCTCCTCCAGCAAGCTGCCCTTGACCGGCTGCCCAGTCTGGGCTAGTGCCACTCGTAAGGGCTCCCACTCTCTCCTGGGCAGCGTTCTACTGACTTGTTACACTGACTTCAAGTCTTTGTTTCTTTATCCCTCTCCCCACTAGACATTAGACTCCCCAAGAGCAAGGCTAATTTGGGTTTATCGTTAGATACTTGGACTGTTTAGTAAATATTTATGAGTGGATATTACTTGAGAATGTATTGTTTTCATGATTTGTTGACTAAATTCTTATACATCTTCATATGTGTTTATTCTGCCATCACTATTAGGTTGCAAATATGGGCAGAAGCCATGGCCCTTTGTTCACAGTAGGGCTCCTGTAACTTCACAATGCAGCAGGTGCTCCAGGACAGAGACTCTGGAGCCAAGGCATTCAAGTTCAGATCCTGGTTCTGCCAATTACTAGCTACATGACTGTGGGAAATCTTCCCTGGTCCTCAGTTTCCCCAACTGTGAAATGGCTATAATAGTAGTACTTGGTTCATAGAATCTTTTTAAAGAAATAAGTATGTGTACAATGCTCAGTATTGTGCCTGGCACATGGTAAGCACCCTGTAAGGGTTTTTAAAGCAAATACTTAGATAGTTTAGATGGACAGATGGATGGGGTGAGTGGTAGATATCATTTCTAGATTTTTTGTGCTATTGCCTGCCCTCTGAACACTTTTACTCATGTACTCTTTAGTGGCAGTGCTCTGAGAAGGTCCCTGGTATCGAATAGAAATGGGTATGAAACACCCAGTCCATGAGGACTCATCTCAAAATCTATAGCACAGAGATGATTTTAATTTACCCCTTACATATAACACACTCTGTTCAACTTCCTCTCTGCTCTTGCTTTGAGTTCTATATTCAGATTGCTGGTGGGTTTTTAAAGGGACCCTAAAGAACTCTCCAAGAAAAAGCTGCAATTAGTATAATTTCCCTTTCAGTGCAGTGCCCACTGTCCACAGCCTGTTTCTTCCTGCTCATGGCGAAGGCTGGGAGGTGATTAATACCATGTGACACCATCACTGCATTACTTCTGCTAGAGCTCCAGGGCTTCTAACCACTGGTTGTTCACTGTAGAATGAAGGATTCTGTTCCCCGTCAAAGGAGCCAACTCTCAGATTACAAGTGGGGAAGGCGAGCAGACAGCAGGGAGTCCTTCTAATCACTGAAATCACAACCCAGCTACCGACTGTACAGGAGGCAGGTACAAAGCAAACTTGTCTCATGAAGAGAACTGACGATTCAAGCCTGGATATAAGTGGGCACATTTGTGCTCAGTCTGTAACAAACACGTCTGGTTGCTTGGTGGTCCAAGACACAGACTGTGCAGGTGCGCCAGTAACAGGCAGCCATCTGAGGAAGCCTTCAGATCTGTTAGAGGAGCAGCCAGAAAAACAACTTCTATAAATACAGCCAAACAGGGAACCGAGTAGGAAGGCTTAGGAGTCAGAAAGGCATGGCTACATATTTTGGTTCTAATGCTTATTATTACCAGGGCTTTTCTTGGGGAAGTTGCTTGACTTTGCTGGTCCTCAATTTCCCCATCCATATTACGGGGGACTTATGTCTCTTTCATAGGGTCACTAAATGGAAATGAGACAACCTTATGAATGAGGTGATGACAGGATCTAGATATGATGGGCTCCTGATGTTATTGGTCCAGTATGAGAGCAGGTGTGTCTGTGTGTATGGGGGGCACTACGGGAGAGCCAATGTGAGGCTCTGTCATGGGGCTGCTGTATGTGAAGCACCACCTTTGGCCTCCACTGACCACAGCCAGTGTTCCCCACGCTCAGGGCCATTATGCAAACCAGCGGCAGGCAGGCCTGTGCCCACCAATAGAGAGTCTGTATTTCAGAATATTTTTTTAAGTGTAAATGTCTTGCTTCCCAACAAATACAGTGAGATGACTTTAACAATGGTTTGTTTACTACACACATTTCCTTAGGAAGATGTCTTTGGTGTATAAGAGTTACTTATATAATTAGGATATCAACTGTAGGCAGATACATTGAGTATCTCTGAAAATATTTTGTTCCTGTAGGCATTTGCTCCTGTAAGCATTTATTCTACAATTCTGACCTACTTCTGTGTAAAGGCTGTCTTCACAGATGGTCCAAAGAATTTACTTCATCCTGTCAAAGAAATCACAGGTTCTGATCTGAATTAGTATTTTTTGTTCTTACTGAATAGCTATTTCTTAGGTTAGCTCTATCAGTTTTCTTTACACACTCTGATGTTCCTTTCTTCAAAGAAAATGTGCTGATATGTGAGAGTTACTGAAAAGTACTTGGAAAGGAGTGGCTCAGACTTCAAAGATTCTATTTTGACATCTAGCAAAAGAAAGTGTCCCCATACCTGAATCACATGGTCATCACTTGTGATTTCTATGGCCTCATGACAGTGGTCTAATGCTGTGAACACTGAGTTACAGGCCCTGAAAGTTGTAAAAGATCAGTGTTAGTTCTGCTGGAAAACCATTAGCATTTCATCTGTTAATTTATCAAAGTAAACACTTCCTGAGATTCATTAACACCAGGTACCTTTTGATATTATGTTTTAAGTAAAAAAAACCAAAAACAGCCTTTTAAACTAACTGAATAAAATTAAAAAGCAAAGAATAAACAACAGCATATAATTCTGTTTATGTAATGTAAAAAGAAAAACTGTAATCCAGCAAAATCATCATGGATCATGGAATAAACTTTCTATGTGCTGAATGAAACCTTAATACTGACACAAGAGAAAAAAGAGGCAGGAGACAGCCTGGTGGATCCCCTGTCCCTATGTTCTACGTCAGTGATGTTCTGTTTCATTCAGTGTGTGGTCATGGAGAAGTCAAGTCCCCATCAATCAGAAGAACTGAATTCTGGGCCTTGTGCAACAGACACAGAAACATTTTTTTTCTCCTTTCTTACTTTCGTGATCTCAGATAAACAAGCCTTTATGGTACTTTGCTTTCAACCACACTCACTGGCATGAGGAGAAGCCAATATGGCAGATTTCCCCTGGCCTAGTTAACTGTGTAGCTCACCAACCAGGTGGGTACTTTTCTTGGTGACCTTCTTTGTATATGTGGAACATTTGAAATCATTTCTCAATTTGTTAGTTAGAATTTTAACTACCTTGTAAATCTAGAGCAACTCCAAATACTGTAAGTTATTTACTATCTAACACAGTAAAGTTTGTAGCTGGTTAACAAGAGTTTTGTTATTTGTAGTGGCTATTTAAAGAATCCTAGTAAAGGTTTTCTTAAACATTACCAAAAAACAAACAAAAACAGTTGATTTACTGGAATGGCATTGCTTCTTATAAGACAAACTCTTAAAATGCATTCATTTTTACCCCCACTCATAAAAGTCTTTAACTTTGCCACCCTGTGTTGAACTGTTTAAAAAGAGAGGACAGAAGAAATTGGGTGAAACCCACTTCTGTATTTTGGCAGTTATGGAGCCTTGGGCAACTTTTTATAACTTTGCTGACACTCATCTATATAATGAGGATAATAACATACTTTACAGGTTGTTGCAAGAGTCAAAACAGATAGTTTATGTGATACAGTGCTCAAAGTACTTGGGGCAATATCAGAATTCCGCAAATGGTACTTAGTATTTATAAGACCCGGGTGTAATATTTCTTTGTTCTCTAAGGCTTTCAAAGGCCATTGGTGAAAAGAAAAGTGAATCATAACCTATCTTTTCTCATGAGTTTCCCTGAAATATTAAACCAAGAACTAGAATCAGTAATTGCAAGGCAACCTGCATGGGAGTGAAGAATTTTGGCCCACTGAAGGATGGTGTTCACATAGCCACAGAGATTAGGGCCCAGCATGGGAGGGTAAGTAAAATAAGGAACCCTGACGTGGTGAGCAGAGGAGAACACGAACCTGACTCAACAGCTTCCTGAGGCATATACAGTATGTTTCCTATTTAAACTGCTTCAATTTACCTGTTTTGAACCTTATACGGTACTATTAACATCCCTGCATTTGTAAACACCATCATTTCAAATAAGAAAAAAAAATGAGGACTTTAAAACTGCTCCCACAGTCCTCACTGCTCTGGTTCTCATGAGGAGGCAGGCAAGAGCACGTGGCATCAGAAGTGCTTTCCAGGCACCTGGGTCCAGAGCCCGCCTCACCCACAGGAAAGCATTCCCTGTCTCCCAGAAGTTAGAGGTGGAAAAACTCTGTGCGGGCTAATCCTTCACTTTGAGAGCTTGATAATTAGAGCTCTAACACTTCTATCAGACGATAAATTCCTCTCTTGCTCGAGTATTTCTTAAGGTGCTTGTGTGTTTCAACTAACTCTGTAAATAGGTACTTCCTAGTATTATCATTGTTGTCAATTCAAGAGGCTACCTTTATACCTTTATACAATATCTTAGCTCAAACCACCAAAACTTATCTTTCAAGCATTCATTGTATGATTATCCAGAAAGCATAAAATCTTCAACAAGTATAATGCCCAGTGGGACAACAGTTGAGGCAAAAGAATATTGGTAAGACCTGCAGGTTACTTCTCCCCAGTGAAAAATACTCCTGGACGGCAATATTTAGATCTAGGCCTTAAACCAATTTGGTTGATAGTTCTATTTAAATAAAACTGCAGCAAAATGAGGTAATCAATTTGTATCATGTTCCTAGAGTTTGGGAATTTAACTGCTTATGTTAATTATTAATATTCTTCATGCAAAAGAACCTTGGCCTTATTTTCTGTTCTTGGGAACCACGTTAACTCTGCGCCTCAAATATACTTTTATATCCTTCAGGTTGAGGAGCTGGGAAACTGGAAAAAGCACAAGGGAAGGTAGCCTGGGCATGGTAACCCATGCCAAACAGGTGTAGAACAACTCCCCCTCACCTTCTGAAGGGCGCTTGAAGGTCTGGAGGGAAAGTGCAAATATTACAGTGGCCCAGGCGTAATGTGGACAGGGAACATGGTGGTGTGACGGGGGCAGAGGGCTCACCTGAAGAGCGGCACGCCCGGATTCTACTCCAGCACTGCCACCAGCACACTGGCGGCTGTGACGGTGGCACGAGCGTCTCTGGCTCTCAGGGCTCCTGTCAGCTAAGGCTGGCGTGGTTGGGTCACACAGTTTCCTGTGTCCCTACCTGACGTACTCCACAAGCTGCTCAAACAAAACATACCCAAACCGAGGCCGCCTGGAACAAGTAGGCCTGGGCAAGGTGGTGGCTTACAGGGAGAAGACTGAACAGAAATCCGCATCCCAGCAGGAGCATGGGAGGAGCAGAAAGGGGGCGGGGGCGGGGGTCCCCGACCTGCAACCGGCAGGCCTGTTCCTGGGCAGCACAGCAGTAGGGGCCGGTTACTCAAGTCTTCACAGCTCAGGTTCCACTCCCACAACACAATGGCTGCCATGCAGAGCGCATGGGAGCAGAAAGCCCTCTGTAAACATCTGTTAATACCAGGAGATAAAGTGTTCCACAGAATACAAAAGTTCTGCCCATCAGAGACTTCGATTCTTTCTAAAATTGAAGACTGCTATTGCCTTAAGACTTGGAGTAAAATAAACATGATGAATGGGATTTAACTCTTAGATAACAGATATCAGGCTAATGATGAAATGATAGCTGTACTACATTAGCATAAACTGATCAATGGAAATTCCCAATAAGTAGCTAAATCCCATCTGTATTATGGATAACAGTTCTTGTCATGATAAAGAGACATAAAAACATTAGAAGAGATAAAGGGTCATCATTTAGCCTGCATTTTCCTAGACATAGTCCATTTCATAAATTCTTCTGTTCTATAAAGTAATTCATCAGATGTATATGGAAATGTTAATTCTTCTGTCTTTATATGTTCTTCCACATAAGGGAATTTTTAAATTAGATATTTTGTTTGACCACATGATTCTCTTTTCCTTGGTTAAGTAAATATGGTTACCATGTATGAAGACGTGGACAGAGAGTCTACCCTCAACCTTCAACATCATCCTTGCAGTACAGACTGTCCTTGCAGAACGCTAGTAATGTCACATATTTAGCAGTAGCTGGGGGTGGAATTTCAGGGAAAAGTATTATATAATTAGACTATAATTATTCTGGCATTGCATAATAAAGAGCCTCGTTTTCCCAGTGTGCAGCAAGTGATGGAGTTGCCTGCCTGCCTGCCAGCCTCTATGGTACAGGTAGATTCTCCAGATGTCCTCGAATGCCCTAAGGAGCTAGAGTAGATCTGATATGAGTCACTGTCCCCCCAATCCACTGGGTCCAGATATAGCATACCGGGGGAGAGGCAGACCATGCACACACTTCCTGTTCCTCCAAAAAAGGGAAGGAGGCTGGTGACCGCTGAAGCAGAACCAGCCAAAAACACAGGGGAAACTGACCACTGGGTCCTTCTCTGCCCTTCTCCTGCAGAGAACTCTTGCCTTCCCGACCTCACCACGGGGACTGCTCTCACGCTTGCTCGCTCATGACTGGGCAAACAGGCTCTTCACCAGCCACGCTTAAGCTCGTGTGGAAGGTAAAGGGATTAGTGGGCACGGCAAACCCACTTGGCTGGCTCCTTCGCCTGCCTGGCTCAAATCCATTCACCACTTCACGCTGATTTGCATTAAAAACTTGGAAACTTTTATCATAACCTCTACAATGAGTCTAGTTTCCCCAACCAGCTCCAGTCAGTGAGGAGTGAGAAGTTATGGAACTTACATAATGTTAGGTACTTAGAAATCTGCCAAGTTCTGAATCTTATGAGACCCTGAAAAGTTTTCAGCACCCTGTCTCTAAACAGATTTCAACAGCACAATACCCTGGAGCCCTTTCTTTGAGCCCTAGTGCTGGCTAGGCACGTTTATTTCAACTTGCCAGACGCGCCTTTTCCCCCCTCACCATGAACAAGACACCTTCTGACATTTTACATTAACTGTTGCCTAAGAAAGCTCAGTTATTTAAACTAACCTGAGGGAATTACCTATCAAAGTAATAAGGTGTCTGCTGTTGATTTTTGTTGTGGATAATATACAGTTAAAGAATTAAACCAAAATGAAATTCCTCTTTTTCTAATTCTACTTATTGTGAAAACATGTAAAACAAAAATACAAAGTCTTTTTTTTTATCCTCAATTAAAATCAGGAGAGACCCCCAGGAATAAAAACAATTAATGTACAATATTAAAAATCATAAATTGCTGAAGTAAAGGCATTGTGGTTTTCTTGAAAAATTCTATCAAGTTCTCTGAAGTTAAAAAATATATGAATACAAAGAAACCAAGGGATTTAATTTAGTTATATAATGAAAATTCTTTGACAACACTCCCCACCAAAGGTTGTTAAAATACCTGAATCTCTACTGGTTTTAAATTCTTTTTTAATACTTTCCCACCTAAGAAAGTGACTGTTTATCCCCTCGCTTTATTTCTTAAAGCTCTCAACCCACCAAAAAGTGACTCCCCTGAACAGGGTGACCCCCAGAAGCGCCTGTCTCTCTGGGTTTATGCCAATCCATTCTGTTTCCAAGGAACAGAGGATAGCAGGAAAAATTAAGTTTAAAAGGGGTTTTGTCTCCTTTGAATGCAAATTACATCATCAAGAGAAGACATACAATCATTACAAAGAGATGCTCTCTTACTTATTTTTCACTGAGCCTGAAACCATCCTGACCTCAGTTAGCCAAAGAAGCCAGGCCAGGGACCTCCTGGAGTCCTACAGTCTGGAGCTGCCCAGAACCAGCAGCCCAGGGGTCACAGGTTGGAAGAGCGCCTTTCTCTGCTCAAGGGTGGAGGGTTGAAGAAATCAGGGTCCTGAAAGCATGCCAGAGTGAAGCCTGAGCAAAACCGGGTAATGAGCCAGAATCCCAACGGGACAAGACATCCCAGAGAAGCCGAACACCCACCACCCAGAATTCCGGCCAGCAGCCAGAGGCTCAGACAGTCCTGCTCCCAAAAGGAGCACTAGAGAGAAGCCTGCTTTTAACAGCCTCTATACCTGTAGAGACTTAAAATCAATTTCTTGAAGATACTTCAAGCATACTGAGGCCATAAACAGGCTTCATAAAATTGCTGTGTGGTTACATAGCAATTAGTATGGTTAGCATAATAAATCTTCCCATTGGTTTGCCCCATCCATAACAATCGAAGTACAAATTTATAAATGTTGCAAGTAGTAAGTAGAAAATAATCCTCAGAGGCTATACTTAATCTCCATATAATTATACAATAATTAAGTAGTATGTTTCCTAAGGTATAATTTTTAAACTGCTGTAAAAAAGTGAAAAATACTGTCAAAAGAAGAAATGCTTTCAATTTATTTCATTTACTCAAAGGGCTCCCAGTTTAGATTCTGACATTTACTAGCTACCATTACCTGCTTAATGTCTTCAAAAATCCCTCTAGGAACCTGTGAGCGTCACCCTGATGACAGATAAGATTTTCAACGTAATTGTAAACCTTGTGTTCTTATTTTGCTACATACCGCAATTTGAACTGTGATCGAACTTCCCCATGTTCTATTTGAATCAGTTCATTGTAGCAAGCAGTTATGCTGCTATTCTCCATAAATCTCTGAAAAGAAAGAAAAGATAATACATAAGACATACAATTCTTCTTAAAGTGTCTAATAAAGAAACTTAGTTTTTTTTTACCCCAGGTAACCGTTACCTAAGACAACCAATAGATAAGATGAGATAAAATAAATCAGTTGTCAAGGTGTTTGGAAAGCTTGCTTAAAAGCATGAGAAAGAGCTGGTAGTACTTTATGCTTAACTCCCTTAATAACAAAGGTGGGGAAAATGTCATTATGAATATTCAAAGGAAAGTAAACACACAAAGGCACAGAACACCTCCCTAACCTTGGGAATTACTAAAATGACTTTGCTTTATATTATGCTGTGTAGTCTTCTAAAACCCAGCCCCAGACATGGTCAGTGCATGCCACACTATGAATGATCTCTTTCAAGGGAAGAGGCCCTTCCTAGAGTCCTCCCTCATCACTGAGTGCCTAATGCACTCTCCTCTCTCTCCTGTCTTACACACACACACACACACATACACACACACACACCGTACCACGCATCTAGTATGGAAGCTGGAAGGGCTAAGGAAACAGGAGAAGCCAGCCATGAACACATAAGTATTTTATTTCTTACAAAGTTAAACATGTTAGGTTCAGGTTGAGCTTCTGGAGAGGGGAAGATTCTGTATCAGCCTATAACAGAGCTCTGAGTGTGGAGTGATGCTTCATAAATACTAAAAGAGATCTATGACAAAATGAGTTTTGAAAAATGTTGGGGTAAGGTTTCTTTTTTTTAAATGACAGAAATTTCAGAAGTTAATTTTGTTACCTATTTTTAATTATAAAAGCTTTACATATTCATTTAAAAATGTTTAGAATACAGAAAAATATAATGAAAAAAATAATCCAAATTACTGATAGTCATAAGCTAGAGCTATCATTACATTTTGGTTTATTTCCCTTAGGATCTTATTATGCCTATATGCGTGTATCTATTATATGGAAGTACATATAAAATTTACTGCATTTTCATTTTCACATCTAAGTAATAGCTATGAGATTTTATTTTTCTTTAGCTCTAAGAACTTCCATTGTACTTCCTGTGATGGTTTCTAAACACTGGGTACTTTGTACATAGCTGGCACTTAAGTGTTTTAAAGACTAAAGGTAGAAGACTCCACTGTCTTTCCTTTTGCAGATTTTCCAGGCTGTAGTTAACTCATATCACTGAAATAACTTGAGTGATCAAAAGTAGTGGCCTTCAAAGTTCAAGCTAAGAATCCCTCAGGGATTCTGTTAAAAATGCAGATACCTGGGCTCTACTTCCAGAAATCTAATCAGGTTTCTCTACTACAGGACTTCTCAGAGCATTCAATATGCTCATGTGCAATGTTGCTAATGTGCCCTGTGGATTTTCAGGGAAGGGAGAAGGAGGAACAGAGTCTTCACTGATTTCCTAAAGTTATTTGCCCACAGAAGCTGTTTTTCATGGAACACCAATTAAAAGCTTTTGGCACACTAGCATTCTATGGACTGGTTTGGGAAATACTATTTTAGTGGACCCAACACAGAGTTTGGAAATATACACCACACATTTGCACCTTAACCTTGTTATGAGTATGAACTGGCAAGCTGTTGAGTCATTTTGAGCCTGCTTCCTCCTCTGCAAAAAAGGGGAAAATATCAAATCGCTTATCTGTGTATGAGGATTAAGTAAATAAGCCTAGAATGGAGCCTGATAAATAACAAATTTTAGATCTCCTCTTTCTTCTCCACAGAAAACCTCTGCAGAGGAGAACTGTCTGGCCATCGTATTCCCAGCAGGCCTAGCACATTGCATCTCACATAGTAAGTGCTCAAAAATTACTTGCAGAATCAAATAATCATCATTAAAAAAAACGGGGCACACAATGGTTGATATAAAAACAGCTAGAACCGCCCTTTGCTAAGATGCTGGTTTCTAAACAGCTCTTTGGGCAGACTAAGCATCAAGCAATCGGCCACTCATACATAGCTACAGAGGCGTCCAAGAGGAGCCGTGGGATAGTTAATGGCACGATTTGTTCCTGGATTCCCCACACAGGCACCCATAGGCTGAAGCACTGGGTCAATTAGCTAGCAACACAAGGCTGAGTTTCAGGAGATGATTTAATACAATCAAAACAACTCAGAGATAGGAAACAATCTCACAGAAGGCAAAAATAGTTGGTATATTTGCAGGGGTGCTTGGGTAGAATAGCCAAAGACAAGATTTTGCCTAAAAAAGGAGACCAGCCACCTGGAGAGCAGCCTCAGCTGGATCTTGCGCCACGGCAGCTCAGGAGGGAAAGCCTCCGCAGGCACAGCATGCTTCCTTGGGAGAGCAAACTACCTGGGGGCACTGTGACCTAGCTGGCAAATGGCCGGGATCAGATCCAGGACTAAAGAATACCAGGTGGTTCCTGACAGGTACTGGTTTTCATGCTCCCACCAAAGGTTTTATTCATGGTGCTGGCTACAAAAAGCAGCACATCTGGATGAAAAGAAAAGAAACCTACTACTTTGTTGCAAAACAAAGACAAGGGGGACAAAGAAGCTTTCCCTCCTCAATTTACTTACTAGCATTTGCACCCAAAGAAGGGGCCAGGGGTTCTTCTAGGCTTTTCTACAGTAGATGTGCAGTCTCAGCCCTCTAGACAAAATGTCAGTCTCTAAACCAGGCAGAGGCAGGATCATGGTACCCATAGGATCACCAGATTCCAGGACACTCGTCAGAGTCCACAGGGATCCTTCCCACAGAGCCCACAGTGTGTCGAGCTGCCCTCCTACCCATTCCTACTTCATCCTCACGCTCGGGAGATCCTGCCTCAGATGGGAAGGACAACATTGGGCTGGGGTGCAGGGAAACAGTCAAGTGAAACAAAAGATCTGTGCCACCTATGCATAAGTTAAGGTTATTACTCAGAAAATAAGTAAAGAAAAAAGTTTCAGCCACACGGTTTGATAATTTTACTTTTGCAACTCCCCACTCCAAAACTCAGAAGCATTGTCTTAGGCATTCTCTTTAAGATACAACACGTAAGAGCAGCATTCAGAGCCAAGAGGGGGCCTTTGAGACAAGAGGAAAGCGTTAGGTAAGTGATATTGAATAGGGTGGTAATGAATAGAAACATTCATTTCTATTACATGTGTGGACCACTATGCTACCTTGAATATTTCATATAGCACTGCTACTTCCACATTAAAGCATACCAAAGCACAAACTGACCACATCACACGGGCAATTTCTGCTTCTCTGTGGTCTACAACAAAGAGAGGATTTTTTTTCTAACCCAGAGTAGCAGAGCACCATTACTTAAGGTACCCAAAGGAATTTTCATAATTCACAGGGCACAAACAATATCCTACTTTCAAAAGAAAATGAGGCATGACATCATCTATTTGAGATTCAGATTACTCCTATTGAAAGGCCTGAAAGATACCTAGTAAGCCTAGTTATTTAGTTTGTTGCTAAGTCTACTTGGAGTATCAATCTTAATTTTCAAGTTGAATATCAGTGTTATTCATATAGTTGTCACCCAAAGATTTTTCTTTGCTGATGTTTTTGGTTTAAACCAGGAGTTCACAGGATGTTACAGGTCATTTATTTGAGTTTAAATTATCAGCAAAAATTATGTAAGTCAACTATAGATCTCTGTTTTTTTTCCACAGGGTAATCTTTTATTCTTTTAATAGGAGTAATTAAGCTTATTATTAATCAAACAGTGAGGTCCTCCACAACTTTTCTATAAGGTTTAATAGTATGAAATACAGTTCTTCTAAACATTCATGTTTTATCTTTTTTTACCTTTTTTAGTCTGTCTTTTAAATCAACTCCATCATTTTCTTTTCCATTTGTATGCACACAGCCTTGCCTCCAATCAAACTTGTTCAAATTGTTCCTGCCTTGAGATACTGGATAAGCCTATCTATTTAGTTGTATGTTAAGCATACTTGGAGTAATCCATTTTCCCCCTTTTTATTGAGAAATAATTGATGCATATCACTATCAGTTTAAGGTATACACAATGATGGTTTGACTTACATATATACTGTGAAATGATTGCTATAATAGGTTCACCTGACATCTATCTTCTCACAGATACCATAAGAATAAAAGAATAAAGGAAAAAAATTTCTCCCTGTGATAAGAACTCATAGGATTTATTCTCTTACCTACTTTCTTATGTATCTTAGAGCAGTGCTAGCTACAATCATCATGTTGTACATTACATCCCTAATAGTTCTTTATCTTATAACTTAAGTTTGTACTTTTGACCATTTTCCTCCAACTTCCCCTCCTCACACACCCCACCTCTGGTCACGACAGTGTGATTTTTTTCCATGAGTTTTTAATTTTTGTTATTAGATTCCATATATAAGTGAAATCATACAATATTTGTTTTCTCTGACTTATTTCACTTAGCATAATGCCTTCAAGGTTCATCCATGTTGACACAAATAGTAGAATTTGGGATATAGATTTCTTGGGTGGCAGTTATTTTCTTTCAATATTTTGAATATGTCATCCCATTTTCTCCTGGCCTGAAAAGTTTCTATTGATAAATCCATTTATAGTCTTACTGGGTTTCCCTTATAACTTCTTTTCTCTTGTTGCTCTTTAAATTGCCTTTGACTTTTGAGAACTATAAGGTGGGGCAGGTGGAGCCTGTTGCTCTGGTCTATTTTGGGGCAAGGCAACTGTTTGAGCATAGAGGACAGGGATGGGGGTGGTATGCCCTCAGCTTTTGTTTGGAAAAAAATCTCTCCTTGGTTTCTTAAGGAAAGCTTTGCTGGGTATAGAATTCTTGGTTGTCAGTTATTTCCTTTCAATATTTTGAGCAGGCCATCCCATTTTCTCTTGGTCTGAAGATTTTCTATTGAGAAACCAACTGATAGTTTTATTTGGGTTCCTTTCCCTTCCTCCCTTTCTGGGGCCTAATTCCCATAATAGTTATCTGTGCCCATTTGGCTTTGCATTATAGGAGAATCAAGGGTAAGGTGCCTTCACCTAAGAGAGGTGCTGGTTTGTCTCTACATACCCTGTTGAAGCCTGCATGCAGAAGAGGAAGAACTGTGGCCTCTTCATGGTCACCCAACCTGCAGCAAGGCAGAAAATGTGGTCACTCATCAGATACAAACCAGTGCTCCTTACACTGAAACATGGAGAGAAAGCAATGAGGCAAGCACAGCTTTGGTTCTAAGAGTGGCTTCCTGACTAGCATGTGCCCTGGAGTACATCTGCCTGCAAGGACCCAGGCACCCACCTCCACCTTCCAGATGCAAAATGAACAAAAACAGTAGAGGAAACTCAAGAAGTGCACCTGAAAGCATCACCATAGATAAACGTGCATGGCCCTTTCCACTATGGGCTGCCCTGGAGAGGTGGAGCAAACAAATGGGAGAAGTCCCATAAAGGCACAAAGTAGAGAGGCAATGCTCAACCCAGAGACTGTTGTCCTTCTTGTTGTCCCCAAACCTTCTGGAAGCATGACTCCCACCTCAGGACCTAGCTGGATCCAACCCTCAGTGTGAAGAAGACAACATGCACTACAGACCACAGCACCCCATAGTCAAGTGGAAAAGAGGTGTCATCAGGAATGCTAAGTAGAAGGGAAAAAGAGAAAAACATTATCGTCACTCATTTGATGGAAAGGTTTCTTATAACTGAGCCTAGATCTGGGTCTCAGAACTTCAGTCTGAGTACAAGGATGCTGATCACAGGGCAGGTCACAGCTGTGCTACCACCATTATGCAAGAGAAATGGTGTCCCTGAGACAAGGAACAGAGAGTACACACGTTGGAAAGCAGGAGACGAAAATGGAGCAAAAGGGACTGGGTGGAGGAGCGACAGAGAACAGGAAGAGAAATCCCAGTGCCTATGTGTGGCATGACCTACAGCTGAGGCCTGCCCTACAGGGAAAAGCTGTCTTCCCAACTTCTTTTCTCCTCAGGAACTCAGTGTTCTACCTTCTCTGAATGATCAATTGGAAGGGGCACAAAAAAGTCCCAAAGGAATTAATAATGTTCTATTTCATAAGCTGGGTGACACAAACTCAGCATTTATTCTATTACTTTCTCTATATATGAAACATTTTATTTAAAAAAGGAAAGAAAGGTAAAAAACAGCAAATAAGTTGTAGCAAACTCTTAACTTGTCAAGGACTTATCAACATTTTTGCTCTACAAGTAGGAAAAAAAGGCTATATTTCATTTGGGGGACTGTGGAATAATCCAGCCTTAGGGAAGATGGTGTTGGCCAGTGACACTTCTGGTATCTATGTCCAAGACTCTAAGACCCTGTGCTAAGATCTCTCAGTCTCCAGAAGACAAAATATAACCAAGAGGGCCAAGGAAGGCTGACTCCATGTCTCAGTTCCCCTCACTCTTTCCCGTTGAAATCCCATCTTGTCCCAGGATGGCAAAATGGTAAGGAACCAGTGGGGACAATTGCTTTATTTTCCTTGGCCCACAGCCCATGGTAGGTATCAAAATGAAGAGACACAGCTCCTAATAAGATTCTTGAGGAGTAACAGGTAAAGAGGGAGTCTTTCGTATGGCAAGACTTTGAAGTCAGGATTTCCCACTGTACTAATATGGCTTTGGACTGGAGTATTCCAAATCTCCCCTGTGCAAGGCTTGCCTGGAAGGACCTTAACTCTTCTGAGTGGCTGGCTTGTCAGCTCCTTCATTGCCGAATCTGTGCCAATTGCTACAGTAGGGACAAGTCCAATAGGCCCAAGGCCCTAATTAAAGTTTTATTCTTTTGGAAGCTAATGATGGCCATTAAGTGACCATAACACATTTTGATACTTGCAAAGATTCCAACCATTGTAATTTATACAAACAACTTTTTTCCCTCTAGGTCTTGCATTCTGAGTGCTGGCCATTTCAGACAATAGAGCCAGCAGAGCAGTTTCTCATCCCATAGTCTTTTACCTACAGCTCAATCCCTCGTTTTTGCCTTCCAGCATTGGCATAATCCTACTGTCCTGCTTCCAGCCACATAACAGTGCCAACATAAACTGTATGACCCGTTCTTACCGCGCATTTAGTACCTTTTTTTCTCTACAACTTATTATTAAGTAAAAAACAAGCCATCTCTTATCTCCTTTCTTCAAAGAAAAAAAGATAAGCTCGAACAATGTTCTCTCCAGACCTCCTCCTCCCCACATTTTCTATTCATTTCTAGCATATAATGAGCAACCATCTCCCCCCACTCACCCCACGGAGATGTATGAATATGTGCTAACAGCAATTAAATATGATATAAAATCCTAAATATTTCCAGAAACTTGCAAAACACAGAACACCCCCCACAAAGCAAGATCTAAGGCTGGTATTGTATGGTCAAAGATGTGCTCACTGCTTTGCTAGCTTATTGACTGGATGACAGACAAATATTTCAGAATGAACAGCGCTGCTTCCAGCTTGGGACAGGAGGTCAGCTTACACTTGTGAAACCACCGCAAGGATCACCGTGTGCTCCGAGGGATTTGTGGCCCGGATCGACCTGCAATGAGAAGGCTCCAAGTCAAACCAGGGGATCTGGGCTTTGTTATTTTAAACGAATGTGAAACTTCTTCATATTGAAAATGGCACAAAACCAAGTCTTCCTCTTAAGAAAGAGTCTGAAAACACATGGAAACAAAGAAAGACATCCTTGTGGATTAGGACAACCTCTTTGCTTTACTAAAAAAAAAAAAACAAGATACTTTTTTTTTAGCTCCCAGGCAATTATCCAATTAGTCAGGCCTGCCAATTTTCCACTTCAAAAACTGGCAAATTCCATTTAAATTCCATGTTTTCTGATTGAAATTCCACTTTGTAAAAAGCTTGGCAGTCCCACAATTCTCGTTATCAGTTTGTACTTAGGGAGCTAACTGTGTTGGATCTTTTCTCTTTTGTAATAGTAGATAGTTCAGAAAGATGACCTTCTAATAAAAATTACAGCACTCACAGGCAGCTGGATATACAAACACCAAGTTAAAGCCTATTAAAAATGGTACAAAGAGACACCCAAATTTTTCAATTGTACTATTGTTTATACAATACTTTCAACAAATGTGTCATCAACTAGAGCTGAGAAATGCTGCAATATAGCAACTGTCACTGTAACAATATTTGTTGTATTATGACCACCTATACTTAATTTATTCTCTAGAAATTTAACAGGATTAAAATACATAATGATAGAGAATTTTGAGGTGCATGAGTCTTACAAGAAAATGTGCTATGTATGTTGCAGCTCTAATTTGGATTATTCTTGTCAGGGGTCATGAATTAGATGAACTTTAATAAAGGGGTACATACTTGAATCTTAATACAAATACGCATGCTTATTTTGACCCATCTCCTTTGTCTGACCTCTGCTTAGTTTGAGATCCCTGGGAAGAGAAACATCATATCCAAGAACAGAAGGCTCAAGGCTGCTACTGAGTGATGTGTGAAGCATCATGTATTTGTTTTTCTTTCTAGCTACTGGCATTTCAGCAACTCTCCATTTTAACCTGTTCGTACTACCACTCCCCAGGGACAGCCAGCTCATATTGCTTCATCTTCAACTCCAAAATTTCCTGACCTTTCTCAAAAAAATGTGCCTTCTCCATTTCCTACTCCTTGAGACCTGACTCTATGTGGGTGTAAGGCTCAAGAACATGACCAGCTGCTATCTTCCCAGGAAGTGAAGTTTACCCTGTGGAAGAATGGCATTTGAACGAAGACAATGCCTCACCCGACTAGGGGTAGGAGGAATGTCAATACCTCTCCAGTGCTAGCTGAGATGACTTCCCATGCAGCCACCCCAAAGAACAGGTCCTGGTAAAGTGAAGCTATACTTATTTTCTTCTTAAGAGCCTACTGAATTCGCAGGAGAAAGGCCAGTTAGCGCCTAATGAAAAATATACACGGTGCTTCAGAGGCATGCTTCATTTCTAGGGAAACACTAAGCACCTCTCACCTTCATTCAGCCTCTTTCACCCCATTGAAGTGTCAAGGGTACACTGCTGAGCTTCATTATAAAGGACAGGATTTACACAAGAGGCTCAAAAGCTCTAATGAATATACTTGGGCTGGAGCCCACAGTTACTTAGCTTTGTTTGAGATCGACTTTTGTTTTTCGGGTTGTTGCCTACTGCCCACCTCTTCTCTCTTCCTCTCTCTTTCCTCCAAGGGAATTGGTATGGTCAGAGGGACCTGGACTTCTTCCTGGTTGAAAGGATTAAGGGAACCCTGGGGATGGGTGGGGTAGGGGTCCAAGGAAACACATGAAGCTCAGGTGCAGTCTAGCTCAAAAGCCAGAGATCTTGGGCCATGGATGATGATGAACATGCGTCTGCTGGTAGTGTGTCCTCCACTCATCTTAGGAAACATATGCTGGAAGTCAGGCATTCAGGAGTCTGGCCCTCCTCACAGGACCAGCAACAGCCAGTCAACACACCATCTTATATGTAACCTGCCTTCTGAACTGCACAGATCTCCCCTTGTTTTTCTGTGGTGCTAAGATAGAAGTACATTTATTAGAGAAGAAAACTATGTTTCTTTATATTTAAGGAAGATTATAAAGCACATCTGCTAAACTGGGCCTTTGCCCGAGTCAAAAATTCTTCCTGTTCATTTTTTTCTTTTTACACCTCAAGGTTGCCTTATTTTACATATACACAAAGGACTGTGGTATTTCTACTACAAAATCATCTAAGCAAAGTCAGTCAAGACCAAGAAAAAGTAGACATAGTTATAAAGGACTCACTTCTGAAAACAGTTTAAAAATATATATTTAATACTGAAAATATCCAAATATTTTGATATATTTATATGTGTATATAACATAATTAAATAGACAAATATCTAGGCAGGAAGATTATTTGAGACCAGTAAGACATTTAAAAATAGTTCTTTAAGAAAAATTCTTCTTTGGGAGAATGAAAATGATCAAAGAATACCAAGGCAAATGCCTATGATGAGAACCTTCTCTTTTAATATACTAATGGTCCTTGGAAGCCGTTTCCCTACCTTTCATTTCGCTAATATTCAAGAAAATTCCAGCTCCATACGTAATTGAAGTCTGTCCTGGCCTAGCATTTAATTAGTGACCTCTTCCCATATAACTTCAAAGCATTCACTTCTGCTAAATGGATCAGATCAACTCTTATGACTGCATTTACTTATGAACAGGCATGCATTTCCTCCCCAGAGTGCAAGCATTTCTGTAAACAAACGATGCGTCTGGATCCCTGGAAGATGTTCTGCTGCTGCAAAGTGGCTGCCTTCACTCCATGGAGGCTTAGCATTCATCTGCATCATCAAGGAAAATTTATATTTCACACATTTCTGATGTTCATTTTTGGACAGAATAATTAAGATTAAAATATCTGGTTTAAGTCTAAATCATATTAGTGTAACAAGAACTGTGTGAATTTTAATGCTTTTTGTGAAACATGAGCAATACTCGGTGGGGGAAAAACACCCAGAAGTTTTCAGTGGAGCCGAGCTCACACCTTTAAATTCATCAGAACTGAAATGTGGAAAAATAGAAAAGGTGAGATAAATCCATAAGAGCAGTCATAGTTTTCATTACAGATATCTGTACCTACATCACACACAAATTTTAGATGGAACACATATTGGGATGGAGCTAAAGACATCTATAAATGAATTTCACTTTAAGCTGTTAAGTGGCCATATACGTAACATATTAAATTAAGGAAGGTACCTGCACACTGCTTCTGCATCAAAATTTCGAGTTTGTCTGTGATCTATTACAATAATCTCATGGTGTTTATCTAGAAAGCACTCAAGAGCTGACTCCGGAGTCCGAGTAATATTGCATCTATAACCGGCTCTGTCACAGGCCCACCAGAATCCATCACTTTGACTATCTTCCTTTGCAAAGATCAGCAAAACCTAGAACACACAGAAAAGAGTATTTTGACTGAAATCATCATCCCTAGAGACTGTATTAAAATCAGGCTTGCAGTACACTGGTTAAAAATGCATCCTCTGGTGGGAAGCTACCTGGGTTCAAATCCCAGTCACTTCAATGGTTCCAGTGTATTTTGAAATAGGGCATTTCACTTGTTTGGCCTATGGCTCCTCCACAGTCAAATGTGATGAGAACAGGGTCACAAGCACACTGTGAGGCTTGAAAGAGCACAGAATAGGTGCTCGCTCAATCACCCTGGTAATGGTTGTTATTCATTTTTAGTTTCCTAATTGGCCTTATTTTGAAATATATTAAGCAGTGAAATTATTAACAGGATAATTATTGCAGTTATACTATGGTTCTCACACATGTATCTGGTTCCAGCGCAGGTGGTGTTTGCCTTGTGGTACCTGGAGGCTTCTTCTCTAAACTTAGCATTTAAATCCCTATAAAGATACAGGAAAGAAAAGGAGCCCAAAACAACCTCAAAAACTAATTTTAACACCCAACCCTTACTGGAATCTGGGAAGAATGATCATGAAACATGAAGCCGATTAAGCTCAATTAAGGAAAACTTGCCTCTTTTTGCCTCACTGGAAAGTACAGCCCCACCCACTGGAAAGGAGGGAGTGGCACTTCATGCCCTGTGCCCCTCATCATCCCCTGGGCTCTGGGACCCAGATTCTTGAGCAGCCAGAAAGCCAAAAACGGCCTTACCACCAACTGAACTTGTCTATTTATTTACCTGTTTATGCCTGTTTATGGTCTGTCTTCTCCACTAGAACTGAGCTTCAGGAGAGCAAGGGCCTGTCTCCTTCCCCACTGTACCCCTGTGCCCAGCACTGGGCTGGCACTCACTAGCTGCTCAGTAAGTTTTTGATGAGTAAAAGACCAACTACTTGTAGGATTTTCTGCACTATGCCAAGAGGGCTTTACTATTAATAGTAGTAAGACTATCTCACAGGTCCAGTAAGAAAACATAACCTCAAGATATTGATAAAGCATTTATTATTCTTCAGTATCCATTTCTGGTCTATACAAGTAAGAACAGTAGCTTCTCAACATGAAGAGCCTTTAAGCCAAGAGCCACATCATTCTTCATGATAAAATACTGTATGTGCTTCATTTAAAATCAGAAACAAAACAAACTATCCAACCATTACCATTACATTTAAAAATGTTTTGTTAACTGAAAATTAGCAACATATAGAATAATAGCACAATAATATAATGAACTTCATGTACGTCATCACCCAGCTTCAGCAGTAACCAATCCCCAGCCAATCTCTGTTCATCTCTATCCCTACCCACTTTCCCAACTCTTGCATTAGTTTTCAGCAAATCCCACACATCATATCATTTCATCCATATGCACCTGTTAAAGATTCTTTAAAAAGTAAACCACAATACCGTTTGATACCTGAGCCTCTCCAATAATTCTTTATCATTATATATCTGAACATATCTAAAATGTTGTTTTACACTGCTTGAATCATTTCCTGTTTTGCCAAATGCCATGTTTCCAGAAGATAAATAATCTTTTCTGGTGTGACTGTGACATTTTCTTAGCACATGGCTTGAAATGCCATGCCAGCAACACACGAGGCAGCCACACTTATTAAAGGGCTCCCTCTGGGCAAAGCTGGGTGATGGGTCCATGAGCTCCATTATATGCCTATTTCTATTCTTCTATATATTGCCAATTTTCAATTAATAAGACATTTAAAAAATGTTGTGGTAATGGTTGGACAGTTGGTCTTATTTCTGATTTTTAATAAAAGTCCAGGGTGTTCTTAAAAGTCTTTGTAGAACTACTTCTAGAAAGCAATGGGAAGTGGCTCTTCCAGGAGAAGTGAAGGCACAGCCTTGTGGATTTTGATAGTGAAAAGAAAGCCTTACAAAGGAAACTATTAACAAAGAAGCAATAATGGAAAAAATAAGGTAGAATACGTTGATTTATACAAAAAGCCTATAGTTCTTTACTTGGTGAAGCTGTAGTATTAACATGAGAAGATCAAAATGAAGAACCAAAAATCAGAAAGATGACAGAACTTGTCTCTCATCTGTCTGGCTGAATTATATATAGATTGCTGATCAAGAATCCCAATGCTTTATATTTCCTTCATACCAGTATGTCTTGACGTTTGACTAAGAACACAACTCTTTTGCCATGTTGGACATTGCCACAGATATTAATTTCCTACATCTTACATGCCCTTAAAGACTGGAGTGCTCCACTTTTGGAAAAATAGTGTCATTCAACAAATATTTCCTGAGTACCTACTATGTGCCACTGTTTTTAATTGCTTACGGTATGTTGATGAACAAAATAAAGACCCCTTGCATTGTAGAGGTGGAGGGACAAACACAGGCATAATAAGCAAATGATATGGAATGTTAAAAGTGATAAATGCTTTTTAAAAACCATAGGGCAGGGAAAGGGGGATCAGCAGTAGGTGCTGGTAGCAGTAGGAAGGTGGGTAGGGTAGGCCTCACTGAGAAAGTGACATACGAGCAAATGCCTGGACACAGAAAAGCAAGCCAAGTTGGTATCTGAAGGAAAAGCATTCCAAGCAGAGGGGAGGGAGTTTCACTGGCCCCCACAGTGTGACACCTGCCTGCGGTGTTAAAGGGAAGCCAGTGCGGCAGAGGGGCAGATGACAGGGTGGGAAAGTCAGGTTCATAGCAGAGGGCTGGATCACAGTAAAGCCATATAGGCCGTTTTAGGAGCTTAAACTGGATTTCACATGGAAATTTACAAAACTAGCTGGTGAAGAGTTGTACTGGCCATTCCTTGTTATTGTCTATATTTCTGATGTTTTGATGTCTAGAGTTTTACTGACTCTGGAGAGGCTGCCCTCTGAGCTAGCCTGTTCCTAGAGACAGCAGCTGACTTGCCTAGAAATGTACTTTCACAGGCAAACCAACCCAGAGCCTGTACCACCACCACCTCTTCATCATGCTCTAATGCTCTGGACCACTCTCCACCTGCCCTAAGCATTCCAGGACCAGGTGCCAGACTGTTGGGGGTACCCCTAGGCCTCAGATGCCCCTAAAATGATTCAAACTAGCCAAACTTGCTTGTCCTGCCTTCCCCATTCCTTCCCATGGAAAGCACAGCTGAGGCTCTTGCCCACATCTTCCCTTGCTCCCTATCCTCCCAACCAACCCTGGTGCTCATCCTGTAGGGCATGGAATGCCCCTCCTACAGGAAACTCTGAGTAATAAACCATCTTTTCAATGATACTTGCCTCCTGATCTGTCAGCCTTACTCTACCTGAATAATAATAAAGTCTACATTTTAAAACAGGAGTATTTATATTATAAAAGCATTCACTAGAGAATTTATTTGGGTAGTGTTTAAAATTCTTTCCATTTATAAAAAATTCAGAAAGACTACTATTCAATAATTCAACTCCTAAGCAAAATGCAAATCTTTGAGAGTGAAAAGATATATATTTTAAAGTACTACAGTAATCACCTTTTCCTGATATCTGCCTATCCTGGAAAATTGGCCCTTCTCTAGGAAAGTGGTGGACCTGAGTAGTCAGGGTTGGACTCTCTGTCCTTATTTCTCAAGCCACAGCTGAGCTAATGATATTCACTTTCAGGAATCTGGAGTGTGAAGAGAGACACACAGAGGCTGGAATTGGGACCCATGATTCATTAAGAGTAGAGATACCAAAGGAAGAACCTGAAACTCCTGTTGAAGTACTCAGAGATGGCTCACATCTACCCTTTCTAAGCCATGGCTTTTCAACTCTTTGGATTCTGCAAAAACAGAAAATAAAAAGAGAGAACAATCTTTCTAATGTATTTCTTATTCATTTATTTGCTTTTCTGTAAAGCAGCTTTACTTGCAGCCAAAGAACAAAACCCAAACAAACTCATGAGCAATACAATTGCTCTTCAGGTTCAACATTCTGTGTGTCAATATTTAGTTTCTTTGTTAGATGTGGCCATTTGTAAACATTTATTAACCACTCACTGAGGCAAATCCCATAAAATCATTTTGCCATTTCAAAAGGTCAATATCAAAGGCATATAAATGAACTTGATTTGTAAAAAAATAAACTCTTTTACTTACTCTAATGTGCAGAACATTTATTAAAAGAATATTTATTGATGACCTATCCCATGAGATGCTGAGAACTGGGAGTAAAATGCTGATAGAGATGGACATAGCCCAGTCTCTGCCTCTAGGACCGGAGCAGGAGAGAGTGTCAGGTAACATGTAAGTACAGTAAACACACTACTGAGTGGTAACTATAGACAGAGCACAGACAGGGCATGCAGGACAAGAATTTAGGCACAGGAGAACGCATGGAAGGAAGCAGTTATGTTGTATTAGCCTCACTATACCATTATAAACACAGTCAAAGAGTGGAACATAAAGAGGCCCAGGACAGTGAGGAAACGTCTTCTTTCCGGGGTGAGTCTTTGCCTGCTTGGGCTCTGACCAGGATCGGAACACAACCACAGGCAGGCCTCACTTTGCATGGCAGTGTCAGGCCACAAAACTGACCATGCAAAGCAATATTTTTTTTTTAATTTTTTAATTTTTCAAAAGCAATCTTAATAAACAATGGTAACAATGATTGTCCCATGACCTTTAGACATTTTGGGGGAAGACATTAAATCTTTATTGTTCATTATCAATAGGGAAATGAAAAAAAGTACACTAATTTGGTACACTGTAATTTAAAATATAAATATGGAGAATTAAAACATTCTTTTCAAAAACCTAATAAGAGTAATTTGAATGGTGCTTGCCTTCTTCTCCTTGTATAAACTGTGATACAGAGGAAGCATGTTTTCTATGCCTGGGTGAATCACAAACTAAGTTTACAGCAGCTTCCAACATTTGTGCTCTGCACTTCCAATGTCAGAAATATCCCTGAAGGTCCTTTAATTAATGTGCAGTTTTTTGCTGGCCTTACTTCCTCTGTGACACTTCGTCTTTGTCCTCACAACCACTTTC